TCCTTTAAACTTGATCTGGTTAATAAAATCAACCATTTTATCCTTTTACTAAGTAAAAATGGGCTCCACGGTTGTGCTAAAAATACGCCTTTGCCGTCATCTCTTGTTTTGTTGTGGTAAACAACATCCTATTCACATACGATGGAAGCGCGTGGCAGAACGGGTTTAATTCAGGGGTCAACAAACTCGAATTTGCATATCCATGTTCGTGCTTTGAACTGTGGCTCTGAGCCGAGAGTCCAAACCCACACAAATATAAGGGAGGTTTCTGTTACCCATTTTAATTTTACGAAATAAGGCTCCCAGGGGTTATACATTAAACAAAACTTGTATAACCCCTGGGAGCCTTATTTCGTAAAATTAAAATGGGCAATAGAACCCTCATTATATACTTGTGTATTTGTCTATTGCACGGTATTTTGTTCTTGGTTTCATCAATACATCGGCAATGTTATATTCAGAAACTGAATGGAATAACTACCGAAAAAGCGGCCATTTTCAACACGAAAGGCTCGAAAATCCATGGGACAACGTAACTCAAGTGCAGTCTAAGCATGCAAGCGTGATATGCGAGGTCACGGCTCGCTCACTCCTCGCACGCCACGCTCACAGTCTTCGTTCTTCTTCGGTTTTTCGAGAAAAACAGAGACTGCTCGCAGTGTACCTCAAATCAACATGAAGAGGGAGGGTTCTGGAAACGTCACTGGTTTGAACATCGAAAATCGTACCCGTATTCAATCTCGTACTCGGTTTAGTCTAGTCCAACGTAACGGTTCCTACTGTACAACTTAGTTGTTTATCACGCTGATAGCCACACTTATTATTAATGAAACTACTGTGCAACAACTACTTTTAAATCTTACTGGTAAGGGATTTGCTTTATAAGAACCCAAAGTAATACACGATATGTGACCCTATGTGTGCACGAAAGGTTTGAGAGCGAATCAAGTGAAGGATGCTGAACATTACCTTGACATCGGTGGACTTGGGATGTGGGCAAATTTACGTCTTGTATGAAGCAAGTATACCGCAAAAACACATACCACGAGTAACAATAGCCAAACCAAGGTACCTGCTACGTACAAAATCAGGTAAAACATTTTCCCTGCAGGACAGCCGTTAACTGCTAAATTGTTTTTAAAAACCTCCAGGGGTTAATCTTTGAGACTGGTGCCCAGGTAGCTTTCACGGTAGACTGTTAAAAAATAGGTCCGCAATGCGAACATGTGTCTAGTGCAGGGTGGATACGGGGAATTGATAGTTTACATGTAGATATTGTTGTGTCCTGAGAAGTTTGTTTTGATTGATGCAATTTTGTATTTTGCTATTTTTAAATTCCTATTATTGGGTTGAAAAGCTTTAAGAGTATTGTAGTGTTGTTTGAATGCCCCATACAGGCGTATGTAAGAAATGGTTTTATCAATAATAGAACAAGCTCATTGATAATTTTTTTTATGCGAAGTGGAGTATCTGGTGTTTTTTTCTACCACTTTTATATTTCGTTGCCTTTTTATTTCGTCATTATTGTTAGGGGATTGGACACCAGTCTAGAGTATTATGGGATGTAGAGAGAGCACACGAGGTGGAGATAAAACACTGGGTTAGCTTATGTGTCGTCGTCTCTTCCACGCAATAACAGTTATTTTCCCTCGCCCTCACTAATTTTTCCTGAGTACCATAGTACGAATATGTCCCAAAATGAACTAACATATATACATATGGAAACAGGTATGTCAGGATAAATTTTTATGCAAAGTACAGTATCAGTTGTTTCTTTCTGCCACTTTTATACTTCGTTGCCTTTTTATTTTGTCGGTATTTTCCCTCACCACTAATATTTTTCTGGGTGCCATAGCATGAATATGTCCCAAAATGAACTAACATATATATGGAAACAGGTATTTCAGAAAAAAAATGGTGAAGCACTAGCATTAGGAAACATTTCCCATTGGTTCTAAAGAGAGGAAGAACAGCAACGAGGTTCGCCTCACGTTCACATACTTATGTGATTAGAAAATGCCCCAGTATTTGGAGTTGATGATAATGCTATTGTTAGAGTTAATTGATAACATATATTTTGTCAATTGCCACGGTCAGTTAATGACCCGGAACTGAAAAACCTGGTTAACAGGCAGATTCACAGTCATTTTCATGATTATACCTGCAGAAAGAAATCAAAGAATGAATGTCGATTTAATTACCCAAAACCACCTACGAGGGCAACTGAAATATTTTATCCTTTATACAATAATACACCTCGACAGAACATAAAACAACAAAGAGACACTATTAAAAAAAAAAACTGTGAAAAAAATTAAATGATTTGAAAGAAGGTGAATGTAAAACATTTGAGGAACTGTTTCTGAAGTTAAAAGTTACTTTCTATAAAATCAGCATCTAACTCTCCAACCATATTTTTAACTCGACAACCAAATGAATTAAGGATCAATGATGATAAAGTTACTCGTCCTAAGGCATGGAGAGCAAATATGGATATCCAGTTTGTCTTAGAGGGCTGATATCGATCTAAAACTGGAAAGCATCTTTTAGAGTATTTCAGTCCTTCACGGGTACTTCGAAAGCCGTAGCATAGTAAATATGTTACTGTTTCTTGAAGGGACGGTAATATTCGTAATGACGCTAATCTTGGATTTAGTGATGATAATAAACCGCCTTAAGCAAAAATATTCACCCCTTTCTTCTCGAACACTTCAACTCAGAAAACACTGCTCAGAATATTATTCATAACACGAAGATTTTGCGACACCAACATTCGTTGCAAGAGGATTGGACAAATATTTGCTTTGACTGCTCGGGCACTCGCTCGAGCAGACTGACGAGTAACGGCGACATATCGATTTGGTAACGCATTTTCACTTGCGATTTTCCTGTTCATGTAGTCTGTCACGAGAGGAGAGTTCGTTGAAACTATTGGAGCATTTCGCCGTATATGAAGTAGGCAGCTATCTTTTTTTATCGCTTTTACATTGTGTCTAGTGCGAAAGCACTAGACACAATAATGTAAAAATATGTGAAGATCATTTCGCTTGTGAAATACAAGCGAAATATTTTACCCTGTGAAAAATGCGTGAATTTCTAAATGCAAACAAAAAACATGTGGAAACCTCATATCATTTTCACATGCCGTTTTAGACCTTTTTCCATCTCATATTGAGTTTCACCTGTTTGTGAATCGAAGTGAAAAGACCCTGTGAAAATGGATATGAATTGAAAGTTAGTCTAAAAAGATATATAACATTTGAAAAATTAGGTGAAATAATAGCCTTATGCTTCTGTCTGACGGCTCTCTATTACTGAGTCATAATCAGTGGTAACAGAAATAATTTTACTGAAATGCTACACCCCTTGACCTGATTTTTGTGAATGTTTTCCAAGTGTGAGCTATTTTTTAAAGTCCGACCCATTTTTTCCAAACGTGACCCATTTTCCATGTGTGACCCACTTTTTCAAGTGTGACCCACTTTTCTAATTGTGACATATTTTTCCAAGTGTTACCAATTTCTCCAAGTGACCCATTTTTTCCGAATGCGACCCATTTTTCTAGGTGTGACCCATTAATCCAAGTGTGACCCTTTTTTCTAAGTGTTACTTTCGTTTTCAAGAGTGACCCATTTTTTCAAGAGTGACCCATTTTTTCAAGCGTGACCCATTTTTCAAAGTGTGACCCATTGTTCCAAGTGTGACCATTTTTTCCAAGCGTGACTCGCTTTTCCAGGTGTGACCCATTTTTCCAAGCGTGACCCATCTTTCTAGGTGTGACTCATTTTTCCAAATGTGACTCATTTTTTAAGTTTTTTAAAAAACCCACGTAATTCGTTTATACTCCTGGTGACTTCAGCGAGAGGGGAAAACGAAACCAACACTCTGGCGGACTAGGGTAAGAGGGCAGGGCCTGTCGCCTCTCGAGATCTTATCCTTTATACCTCAATGAACTTGATCCGCGACTTTGAAAAACACAATCTGACGACAGTAGCGTAAACAACTCGTGAACAACGTGTAGAATAGGCCATTTCCGTTTGACCTTGTGCCTCTGTTTCAAACCGAGTCCTCGTGCAAAATATATTATATGAAAATGAGTTTTCAAATTTCTGAGGCGTAGACATTCTTTATTGGCTCAAGACACAATGAAAATACAGTCAAATCTCGTTATGGTGGACACTCGCGGGACTGCCACTTGGTGTCCGTATTAGCAGAGGTCCACAGTAGCGGGTTGTGATAAAAATGACCCAATGGTTGGTTGTAAAGTGTCTCATATAGTACTATACATTTCTTGCAAAACTTTTCGGACGTTTTATTTGGGACGTCTAATTATCGAACACTTCTTGTCTCATTTCGGACAGGTTTCGGCAAACATTTCGGACACTGTGCTGAAACAAGCTAAAGTAAATTTACGCCAGCAAAATACGAATTAGTATGAAACACCATCTGAGAAAATGATAGTTTTACTGCACCCTCAAGGTTTTGAAGATACACCCACTAGAAAATAATACAAGCCGTTAGGTATCTCAAGCAGCGTCTCAACTAGAGTTCTCTTCATATAGGAAACTTAGAGCTTTGGAGCTACTTAAAAATTTTATACTGTACTATAAATATTTCGGAAGGTTAAAATTTCGGACGGTGTTATTTTTCGTCCGACATTTTTTCCAGTAACGCATTCTCTTGAGCGATTTTAATTCTTTTAAGCCTTTCCACGAGAGGATGTTGCATAACAATTTTATACCATGCCATTGAAAATATAGTGACCATGCAACACAATCAATGCGACATACGCGCGGCGCATGATGGGAAGGTTGGATGTAAACCGTCGAATATACAACAAACTTCCTGTAATCTGATTGGCTGTATTTTCTATGGCATGGTATAAAAAGCAGAATTAATATATAGTGCTTGAATATTAATTACTGTAACATATATTTAGGTGTTAGAAGAACCTATCAGTATTTTCGAGTAAATTTATTGTTTCCCGACTCTATGGTAGAAATAACAAGAAACAAGGTACCGAAGCAGAGTCAGTGTTTTAGCGATCACAAACAAGTATTTAGAACTAGTATTTTCTCTGCAAGTTATATGAATCAGTCTGGCCATGCCTACTTGCAATAGTTGTAGAGAATAAAAAGGAGGAAGAAGAAATGAAACGAATTGGCTGATATTTAAGGTGGCTACCTGTAGTGCTGGAATGACATTAAATGATAAGTACTTTCGGAAACAAAATAAACTTAGGGCGCTTTCCATTCGACCAAAAATTCCGGCTTGCATTTCCGGAAATTTCTAATGGTAAATGGCTTTGCACAGTTTCCAGGAAATAGTACAACCTCGCAAATCACAATATCCACATTTCCGAAATTTTCTTATCAGGAATTTCTGTTCTGCTTGAATTTCCGGAACTTTCACTTGAATGATTCGCTCTTCGGAAATTTAACAATGTTCGGTTTCTCCGGAAACTTTCTAGGGCAATTTCTGTACCATTAGCCCCCATTTCAAAAGTTCCGAGAATTTTTGGTTGAGAAGAAGGAGCCCTTAGTTCCCTGAAATGAGTTACAAAATTTTTTAAATGATTTGTTGCCGTTATATATTGACCAATAAACATTCTAGCGCATCGCTTGCACAAATTTTGTCCCATTGCATTACTTGCATTGTACATGAGAAAAAGTATCTTTGCTATGGTGAAAGAATCTGTCAAACAGATTAAGCTGCGAAGAAAACCACATGCTACGTATTCTAATTCAGTTTTAGTGGAGGTAATGTTAGCTCCATATTTGTTTTCTTTACCATAGTCCTATAGATTAAATGAAATTAAAATTGCGCTTAAACCTGACCACCCTGCAATATAATGTTCTAATGCCTTTTAGTCAAAGTACACATCACGCCATCTTTGGGTCGAATCGTGACCCGTTCACGATATGTGCGCGATTGACCAGGTACGAGAGAAAACTTGAACGTCTGAAGAAAGCGCGATAGCAGAACCTTGGCTTCTATCTAGAAAATAAAGACGAAAGAAATTAATAAAAAGGGAAAATATGTCTCTGGGATGCACCTCAAGGCTATCCACTATCTGAACCAGTTTTTTCGCTTGAGCGTTGGTACGCATTATGTATGTCCAACATTCAGCTGTCTTTCGATTATTGGCCATTGCACCTGTTGTAATATTTAGGGGACTTTATTTTTGAGTACGAGATCGAGTACGAAACGACTTTTCAATTCTAGTTTGCAGCCTCCAAATTATCAAGTCACATACTCATCTCAATGTCGTCCCATGAACTACCTTCTCTACCTCAAACCAACATGAATTGCGAAGGCTCTGAAAACGTCACTGGTTTGATCTCGTACCCGCAGTTTAGTCCATCTATGGGTCCCTTTTCTGGACAAGACTGGCTCCTTGCCGACTATTTACTTCCAGTTTCTATAGCATGAAGCCAGAAGGGGTGTTGTTACATCTGGTTGAGAAATACTAACTCCCAACATATTTTCTAGCAGATGCACAGCAAAAAATACAGTGCCCTGTCCCAAAACATGCTATGAACATACTATAAGAGGCAAGGCTTTTAATACGTGCGAATAGCTAGGCGTCCTTGAAATAACGTGCTCTTGAGTACGATACTACCTAGGGAGCTTAACCACCACGGTAACGGGAACGGGAACGTCGCTAAACAAAAGATTCAATGAGCAAAACAATGGCTGTGCACGTGCGTTATAATTCTTGTAACATTTCTTTACCGTCCTCTATAAAACAAAAACGTATAAATGACTAAATTCTGCGTTGTCCGGAGAACGTGAACCACAACGGCTAAAATTTAAAATTTATGTTTCGAATTTTACGCTGTGTTCCATATTCAGTTTCGAGATTTGACGGAGCGAAACAAACTAAACGACTTTACAGTATCACGAGATTGGTAGGTAAAATATAAATTAACTTTTTAATCGACGCTTCCCCAGGCGTCTCCGTCGCAGTTACTCACGATCTCTCTCACACAATCTCTTTCACAGTATAAATGGATACCGGAGGATTTTCAGGTCAGGATGCAATCTGTACTCCTCTTGAGCTGAATGCTAGTCAACCAGGAATACTCTTAATGATCAAAAAGGTGTAAATGACATTTGCTGTCTAAACCACACGATTACACACTTCAGATTACATCGTTTCCAGATCACTTGTGTGCGAAACCGAAAGTGTAACCCGATAGATTACTGAAACGTGGAGTTCAAATTACCTGCGCGAAGTTTTGTCCAATGCAGTTGCGCGGTCCAAGAGAAAATGGAAAGGAAGTATAATGAGACCTGAAAACGGAAAAAAAAACCCGCTGTGAATTACGTTTTCTGACGATGTTAACGGAAGGCTACCGAAATCATATATTGGCGCTGCTCAAACTCGTGCAACTGAGCGTAAGCAATGAATAATTTTGCCGGTTTTTCCTTTTTTTTCTCCAATTGTGGACGAAATAAATTGAACTCGTTTTACACATGCAAGACTTTCCACTTAACCACTTATCAACAGTCGACCTTGTTTCAATAAGGCCTGGCGCACACTAGAGACATAACGAGATAATGACATAACGACAAAATCTCTTATACAAGTGAATATATGAAACATCATATATTTGAACTGCCGAGAAAGATATGAAGGCATGATTGATCATCGTAGTTTCTACACACAACTTAAGCAGTTGTGAAATTAAAGCCTGAACAAAAATTCAGGCCTGAACGGGATTCGAACCCATGACCTCTGCGTTACCGGTGCAGTGCTTTATGTCGGGAACGCGAACATCGACATAAAGACATAAGGAAAAGATCAGTGTTTTCCCTTATGTCGTCATGTTGATGCTGTTATGTTGCTATTATGCCATTATGTCAGCATGTTCACACTGCAAAAATAATGACATAATATCCTTCTTACAGTACGTCGTTATGTTTATGTCGCCATGTCGCGGGTGTGAACTATACAGCACAATGATTGTAACAATCCTATGACATGCAACCCAACAGTTATATCAGTCAATTAATTCACCGGTAGAGTTGATTTACAAACACAGCACAACCCAAATTTTGTCAGTACAGCACAGGACGTCAAAAAAAGTTGACATTGGCCCATCTCTGCCCTTGTGCCGCGATTGACTACGTCGAGAAGGACACTGGTCAAGTGTATTCCACAAAAAGATTTCACTGATCGTCATGTACTCGTCAGAGAAGCAACTGTCATGTACTGCGAAAGATTACTTGAATTAATCACTTGTACTCTCACACCTCTTTAAAAGTTCTTCGTCTTCGAGTCTGTAAGGGTTAAACTCTTCTGGTTTGGTCCAAAATTCAGGGGAGTGACTGCTGACAAAAGAGCTCACCTGCAAATTAACAAGGGTATCTTCACAGTGCACAGAGGTCAAACACATTGCGCGCGCAGTTTCCGCCGTCATTTCACGTCTTAAATGGCAAAAATTCTCCACTTTTAGGCCAAACGTTAAGGTAAAAGGTAAAGTCTGCATACGAGCCAAGTGTCCCATCATCAGGTCAGTGCTTATCTCCGATCTCAGTAACACGAAGCGACTAGGAATATTTCTACTCCTCCCNCCCCCCCCCCCCCCCCCCCCTGGGTGGAATAAGGTCCATCGCACGGTTACCCCCAGCATTAAACTCGCCGGTATCCATTTGTAGACCTGGGTAGAGAGAGGCACTGTGTAAGTAAAGTGTTTTGCCCAAGATCACAACGCAATGTCCCCAGCCAGGGCTCGAACCCGGACCGTTGAATAAGGAGGCGAGCGCACTAACCATGAGGCCGCCGTGCCTCTTAAGGTCAAGACAGTCACTAAAAAGTCAACTAAGCTTAAGTTTGTAAGCCACAAATGCATGGAGAATCTAATAATTGTTTTCCAACGTTAGCAAGAATAGAGCAGAGTGGAACATTGAGAGTCAAGAGGAAACAAAACTTAGGACGGGTATATCTTGACTAAGGAGCTAGAAAACCAGAATTTTATGTGCAGAATTAATGCAGTAATGAAAAACTGCGCTCCGTTTAGTTTCCACAATGAAAATACAACTCACACATGCAGCTAAAATTTTCTTTGATGTAGCAACCATTAGTTAGAACTAACATCGAGATGTAATGTGAGAGCAGTAACTGAAGGAGAAACAAGCAAACAAACAAAACATTTGTAAGTAAGTTATACCATTATGGCGGTGTTAGCGGGGATATTGTATCCACCTATTTCTTGGCCCTTTCCAGAAGTTCGTAAAGTACCAGCTGCCGGTGGATGTACACGTAATGTCTCCTTTATTACCTGGTAAGACAACAAGGACAACTGTTATCATTAAGTGAGTGTAAATGGCCCTTGAAAGAAAAAACGATAGCGATGACGATCCTAAGGTGAGTGATTTCTCTTGTGTCTACTTAACTTAAGGAAAGGAAAGGAAAGGAAAGGAAAGGAAAGGAAAGGAACGGAATGGAACGGAACGGAACGGAACGGAACGGAACGGAACGGAACGGAACGGAACGGAACGGAACGGAACGGAACGGAACGGAACGGAACGGAACGGAACG